CCATGAGGAAAGATGATGCTATCTACTCCAATAAAGCTTTTAATGAATATTTTATGAGTCAGAATTGACTTGATGGTAGTGAGTTTGGGTTTTTCCCATATTGTCCATATATATCTCATAATAAAATTAAACACTGCTAAAAATTTTAAAGTACATTAAATACACCAACTCCTTCCCTAGGAACTCTCATTATCCAATCTTTTGCATTTATAAAAACAATAGAAAAATCTTTATGTATTTTGCACATTAATGACATGCACCCGACAACTGAGGTGTAAAGTGAGAGTAATGGTTTGACAGTTAAAATTATATGTCAAATTGACTGGACCATGATTCTCAGTGGTTTGGCAGGTATGAAATGAACAAATTTGGCATTTATATAATGATAGGCAATCCTAACAATGGAGTCATCTCCTTTGTGATCCGATGGAATTATTCTCCATTTTCACAAAGAGCTGTTTTTCACATAATGAACTGATCTTTGGCACCTCACCATGTTGTTCAGTGAGGAGTGGGCAAGCTTTATTGGTCCAAGTATTTTTAGAATTTCTTTTGAGTGAATGGCAATACCATATCAATTGCCAATAAGCATTCGGCTAACCCAGGTGACTTTACTTTCTCCCAGAGTAAGATAAATATATTTTCTGTCAAATTACATATTCTGGTGGTATAAGGTGACAGATACTAACAGGAAAGCATACATTCACATAGGTTAAATTCTAACTGGAAGTTCAAATGGTAAATTGGCCACCACTGACAGCATTTGTTTTAGAAATGCAAAAATAAATAAAGGCAGTCTAGTCTTTCGATCACAAGAATTACTAACAAAGGATTGAACAAGCCAAGAACAAAGGAAAAAAACACGGCAACTGAGTTGATTCCCACTCTTAGCAACCTTGCCCAGGGTTTTCAGAAGCTGGAAATCTTCACAGAGCAGGCTGCCTCATCTTTCTTCAGAATAGCTGGTGGGTTTGAACCATCCACCTAGCAGCAATCCAACACTTCCCCCAGAGTGCCTCCAAGGCTCCTTAGGGCTTGAATAAAAAGTTCCCCTCTACACATGGAGTTGCAGTAGTTAACGACAGTATCTTAAAATCAGCTCAAAGGAGTATACCTGAAGACAATCAACAATAGATGTTTGTAAGGGCTTATGAACCACAAAATTTCACTTCTTTCTAAATGGAAAATGTACCACTGAAATGAAGAACATGGCTGTGGAGTCACAAACATCTTGGTTTAAATAGCTGTCACTTATTATAGTGCCTTGGCAAAGTGTCTTAAGTATCTGAGCCTGGTTCCTGATCAATGAAGAGTTGATGGTACCCCCTCCCCCCACCCCCGAGTTGTTGTTCTGAGGGCTAAATTAATTACTGCATGTTAAGTGTTTGGTCTATTGCCTGGACAGAGAACCAAAGCCAGTGTCACTGAGTCAATTCCAACACATAATGATCCTATTATCGTTTCTGAGGCTATAAATGTACATGGGAGCAAACAGCCTCGTCTTTCTCCAGAGGAACAGCTCAGGAAATTGAACTGCCATCCTTGTGGCTAACAGTCCAACACTTACATGACAGTGCCAGCACCAGAATCCTTGGGCATAAAGAACGGGGTTGCTAAAAAAACCTATTCTTGGATTTTGCCATTATCTAGACAGTGTTGTTGTTTTTCATTGTAACTTGGACTATAAATAAAATGTACATGTCATTAGAGTTAGACCTCGTGCATTGACAAACACACATGCGCACCCACGCACACAGACACAGGTATCTATTTTTAGATAAGGAATTAAGAAGTGTAACAAATGGATCATAGACAAGCTTAGCTCCAAATGAGGAGTACAAGTTTGAGGAGTCCATGTTCCCACTTTGGATTACCAGATACAATTTGGAACAACAACTAAAGACTTCAATTTTTCTATATACATTTTTAATTACTAGAAATAATCAATCAAAAGGTCAGAATTGTAGTTATTGGGGTCTGAAAGATCCAGTAAATAAAAATAAAATCCATACTGAACTGAAATAAGTAGGTACTTTAGTTTTATTCATTAAAGAGACTTTGATAGCTTTAGATTTTCTTGATGCATGTGACTAGAGGTGTGCATGCACAAGGCATTGCTTGGGACTAGTGTACCCAAAATATAAAGCAAAATATGTTTAGTTGTCTTGGGCCTCATACCCATGTCACCGTCACATCAACTGTGTCCTCAGCAAGCAAGATCCCAACAGCATTGTATGAGGAAGGCAGCAATTGAAGAAGCATCAGGTTCTAGATAGATGTGTAGCTTAACGTCCATCCTGGCAACATTCAACCACATATACCTTTGTGGTCTCTTAAAGTGGTTTCATTTTCAAAGAGAAAGATGTTCTTTTATGATTTGCCCCTAATGATTTTAAAGACGCCCCCGAAAGCCTGAAAGCAAACAAGCAGTGCCATGCAAGGCTGCCTCTCAGTCCTCCTGCTCCTGGCCTTTTCACCCCACCCCACCCCCCCAAAAGCATGTCGCCTTTCCCTCTTAGCGCTGTGTAGCCCTACTGTGGTTCTCCTGCTGCTGCTGCAGGGCTGGAGCCAGGCCTGGGGCACTCTCTGAGCGGCAGCTGCACATAATCAGTAACAGCAGCATCAACAGGGCAATGGCAGCCAGGGTCACCACTGCCAGCTATGCTCTCAGCACCCCATCACCCCCTCTCCGAAACACCTTCTCTCCCCACATAGGCAAAGTCCTCATCCCAGCGGCACGCCAGGCAAGGCTGGCCTCCTGTATCCAGTGGACACCCCTTTGGGGCTTTGTTCAGTGGGCTCCCAAAAGGTTCTAATATAACAGGGTTAATGGGAATTGAAGTATGTAGTGTACTGGGTTAGTCTGCATATAATTTGGTGCTCACAAAGCACCTAACACCCTATTCCACTGAAGGTATCATGGACATTAAGCAGCTGAATAAATTCTGACTGCATCATTTTCGTGATTAGAAAGGGAGGCCCTTACAGGCTCTATCGCTTGCCTTGGACCACAGAACAAGTTAGCCACAAGCAGACTGTTAGTTCTCTAGTGTTCTACGTGGTCATCCAGCACTTGCACAAATATCTGAATTTGAAATCACCCAAGTGATATAATCCATAGGCTCTCAAACTTACTTGACCTATGGCTCCCTTTTCAGATAAAAAATTCCTCAGCAACCCCTGGCAATTTTAAACTTTAATCCCCAATCCAGGAAAAAATGTAGGCATCTGCTTTTGCAGCTGCCTCTGGATCATTCCAGTACCCCCTTTTCTCCCACTTCCTCCCCAAGCCCAGGGGATAGCGTCTCCCACTTTGGGAAGCACTGTGATAGTCTATAAGTACATACCAGAAGGAAAAGTTTGTGTTACCAAATTATTCAAATGATGCGTACACTACACGAGAATTTTTCTCACTTGAATGGTAACTGAACTCTCAATTACTTGACATATGAGTAGGCCCACAAGTATTGGTACCAAGCCATGAAGTCTTTACTACACAAAACCAAATCACTGTTCTCAATTTTGAGTCCCAGTGGCCGTACAGGACAGAGCAAAACTGACCCACAGTGCATCTGACACTGCAAACGTCTACATGAGCCGGCGCTCATCTTTCTCCTAAGGAGAAGCTCAGCCCATTGCTCAAGTAGGGCTCCTTTTTATTAAAAGAAAATATCAAAATGTTCCTTGACATATCCTCTACATGCATCTATACACTTCTGAAAGCAAGAATTTGCGCTCAATTTAAGCTGGTTTGGCACTTTGTAGGACTACCACTAACTGTCCACCTTTCCGATGTTGAGTTTGGGGAACAGAACAAGCCTGACAGTCACGATCAGGACGGCTGGGTGGGTAGGGTAAGGTTTCCCAAGGAAATCCTCGTAGGACAGTCCCTGCCCCCCTCACAGAAGGAACAGGTACACGATCCTGTTGGAAAAGGAGTCTTTTGCCACAACTTGGGGTTTTTTTTCCCTCACCAACGCAGTTTTCCGTTAAAACTTCTAATAAGTCCTCATGATTGCCCTGTATCCTTTGAGGAAATCAAGACGACTCCTTTGGAATCCTGAAAAAGTCACAATAATCTTCTGCTCTCTCTCCATCTTGAATTTAATTGGCCTCAGAAGTCACTGATAGGATTTTGTTTGTTTGTTTGTTTTTTAAGGCAATCAAAGGACCATAAGCCAAGGAGACAGTGAGTGAAGCAAATGGTCTACAGTGATCCACTGATCAGAGGTGTGTTTAGACTTGGCCTGGAATAAACCAATCTATGTATACACTGGAAACTTAGTTAATACTTTTTGACTTCTCCACGAATAATCAGCAATAGCATGTATTTGAGTATTTACCAGGGTTTCAAACTAGTTTGAACCAGTTGTCACACTACACAAATGAAACCAGAATAGATCCCATTTTAAGAATTTTATGTTTTGATTGCTGTTTGTACAAATGTGAATGTGATTTTCTCTATTTTCCTCATTATTTCTGAGCACTAACTGGCACAAAATCCAAGCTATACTTTATTAAAATGTGTTTCATTTGTTTTTATTCAATAAGCATCACAAGACCCATAAAATGTCTTAAGAATTTTGCTTATTCCTTTCGTAATTAGGTTCATTTAATCCACCATTGAAATCTGCATGAAGTGGAGAAATTAGTATTCCAAGGAACTCTTGTGGCCCTGCTGAATAAGGGTTGGACTGATAATCTTGAGGTGACAGGTTCAAACCCACTACCCACTCCTTAGGAGAGAGAGGAGGCTACCCACTCCTGTGCAAATTTACAGCTTTAGAGACCCGATATAGGATTGCTAGGAGTTGGGAAGAATAGATTTGGGGTATGATGTCCCACTTAAGAACATTCTGAAAAAGTTTTATTACGCTAAGAAATCCTTTATAAAATGGAATAATATTTTCATGCATTATAAATATTGAGGTATAATTCCAGGGAAAATAAAAAAAAAATTATCTTGAAAGGTTAATGTAGAGAAGTTGGGGGAAAATCAGTATGTATTAACTTATAATTTTATTATTGATATAAAACTTCCAAATACTGTACAGTGAGGTGTGCTTAGAACACTATACACTCTTACCAATGATTTATCATTCAAATATAATATATACAACAATCACAAATCAGAAAATGAGTAACAGCCAGTGCCTCAGAGATAATATAACATCTATGCTATTTTACTTTCATTGAGCAATTAAAGTACTACTTATTCTTTCTAAATATTTACACTCTTACCACTTATTTTTACATATTCTGAATGGGAGTTCCTTCCAAAAAGTAAGCTTTTTAGGTCTTGGCACTATTTCTTAGCCAAATAAGCCTGAAGCTATTGATACTTTTGTCAGTCTTTATTGCTCCACCACAGGCATAAGAGGCTCAGGAAGGGACTTCTGCATTCTAAAAGAACATTATGCAATATCTTATTTAAAGTACTAAGTAATTGATACTCACAAGCAGATAACATCAACTAAAACTTTTTTTTACTAGTTTTTCCTTTTCCTTTACAAGAGGATAATCATTGTTAATATACTACAAAAGCATGTGGACTCCATAATTTAAAAAAATTAAATGTTAGATATACAAGTATGGCATTTTCTTCAATAATTACAATTTTTATAATTTCTGCTATTTTGGAACAAACGTTAAAACTCCCATGATTTAAGTATCATTAAAAATGAACTGAAACACTTCAGCATCTCAAAGAATTTTCAAGAATGGTAGGCCCTCCCTGGAATTACCCCTATAAATCGTACATTGGTGATAGCGCTCCCCTTTGTTATTTGATTACCTACGTATACATTCTACTATGATATGTTTATAAATGGTCTGGTTTGAAACTTAAATTTCTTATTAATTGTGCACAGTCTTGAGGTTGCTTCATTTGGTTTGGTTATATGAGAACTCTGAAATGAAGGCTGTTTCTACTCATCTTACCTAAAGTGTGGTCTCACTCACTAATGTGACACAAGGTCATTTTAACTTCAGATAGGATGTCTTGAGTTTAATCTAATTTTACAAAGGCTTAAGTGGAAACCTTGCTTTGAGATCCATGAAAACCTCAAAATCTGCTCTGATGTACAGAACAAGTAAAATTACTGTTGAAAAACAAAGTCAGTATTAGTATTTTGAAATAAACATATTATGATATTGTCAATATGCTGATCAGCTGAAATATAACTAATGAGAAGCTAACTTACACAAAGGTTTTATTTGATTAATGCCTAAAGGTTATCTACTAGTAAGATTTTTAGAGAAACTTTCCCTAGCAGCCAGTATTTGGAGCTAACTACAAAAAATAATACTGTTATAAGTTTCATATTTAATAGCTAACAAGTGTTATGTCTGTAAGAGTCTCAAAATCCTGTCAACAGTTTTGACTCATTATGACTAATGAGTAGCAAGTAAGTGATCTTCCCTGAGGTGAAAACCATACGTAAAAATCACTGCTAATCTCCAGTTAAGTTGGATATTTTAAAATAATGAGAATATAGACCAGTGCCTGGGAATCACAGATGCCTTTCAGACTGATATCTTAACTGCGAGCAGTAGGCTTGGTTAGAAAAAGTAAACTAAAAATTCATAAGGAGATATACAAAGCAAATTTCACAGTCAATAGCACTTGCTAAATTTCTGAGGTCTTCATCCTAAGAATTTTCTAATAAACTACCTGAAACAGGGAAAAGGAGAAAGTGGGGAAGGGATTTAGACTTGCTCTTTCCCTAGTTCCAGAAAAACCATATAAACATTCTTTGAAGTTCGTTCTATCTTATCATATACTATTCGGCAGTATCATATTTTCTGTGATTGTAACTAGTTCCTGATGACAAACACCCCTTCAATTACGCCTGGATGTTGAGTCAATGCATGCTTGGTGTGATAAGCTATGAAACAGACGACTGAAGAAAACCACTACGGTTTTATTTCAACTAGGGTGGAACACTGTAGATAGCATTTAATTACAGGACTATAGAGGTGATATTAACTTCTAAGGTTAAAAATATTTTAACCATTTTAAAATCTCTGGTTTGGATTCAAGGGTGTAATGACATAATAAATGGTAAGACTAGACATTCTATAGCAAAGTGCTTGATTGTGGCAACAATATGAGAGAACAAAATGTCATATTTAAAATTTAAAGAAACTGCTCTAACATGCCTTTGTAAAGATGATACCTGGGCCTACATTTCAAGGAATGTGATAATTCCTCAGAACCAAGCCTTTTATTCTTTATCAAGGAGGAACCAAGCTGTTGTGGTAAAATTAATACCTAGCTGGCTTCTAAATGGCATTGCTGTGGCTAGAGAAATTACTCAGGTGTTGTTGGAGATTAAGCCCATCTTCTAACTTTTGCATATGTATTCTAATTTACACTAAATTTAAGTATTTAATGTAATGGGGAGGGGGATAAGAGTTATTTCTGATTTCTTACTACTTTATGCTATGGCACTATACATATCAATTATTAAGTATAGCAAGTCACAGATGATGAAAATATTTGCTGAAAAACAAGTAATTATCATTTACTAGAAAGCAGTGCATTAGCTTGTTAAACAGTATGCCTGCATTTAAACGGAAAAAAAACACACGATGTTTCAGTGGTTAAAAAGTAAAAAATAATTATAGTGGTTAGTGACATTTGCAATAATTTTTAGTTTAATCTACACAGAAGCCTCCACTACTAGCTAAGTGGGAAATATTATTCAGTAGCTACATCTCTCATTTTAAGCAATAGTAATGGCAAAATATGAATATTCTAAATTTTCTTGCTATTCTGATAAAGAAAAAAGATACTTGGAAGTAAGTTCAGAAGTAGAATGGTGATAAAACATGGTAATTCTTTAAAGTATGTGACAAAATTGACCCAAATATTTATCTTGCTCAGCTATTACTTGTAAATGTCAAAATGCTCCCTCTCTCTCTAATCAAAATGGAGTCGTTCATTTAATAAGCCAATTCAGAGTAAGAAGATCCTTTAAAGCCTACCTTATTTGGAAACAAGCTAAAATGCTGTTTATATTCCTTATGAATCAACAGGTAGAAAATTTTAAACACCTGATAATATACTTTCTGATGTATATTTTCTCATAATGCAAATCTAGTTTTACATGTTCCATGTGCAAACAGAAACAGCCAGGCTTTGAATGCTCTAGGTAAGAGATTGTATTAACATACATTGTCTTTCATTCATTCAAATTCAACTTAATTGGGTGAACAGAGGGAAAAGATAGATTCAAATGTACATTTCAGAATACAGAATTGTAGACTAGGATAAAATAGTGCAATACTAATCTCAGTATAACATTCTTTGTCTCTACGGAATCAGCATGAGAGGGGCTTCTCAAGGAAGCTGGCACGACAGATTTGATGAGTACACTATTTCAGCAAATGCCATGTCGATCACGGTATGATGCAGCACAATCTGCATCCCAAAGCAGAGTGACGCCAACACAGAAAGAAAATTTTATGAGCTCTAAGAAAAGGAAACAATTTTGGTTCAAAGGGGCTCAAAGATAGTATATTCAAGCTTAAATTTGATTGATCAAAATTGTAGATTAGTGTAACTCATTCATAAAGATAAATTCTAATTTATAAATTCTCTGTGAATCTGACAAATTCTGGAAATTAGAGATCATTAACTACTGTTACTATTTTTGTATTTTCTACAACCCTTTGCAATCAACAGTTCAAGATTAAAAATCCAATGGTGTTACTTGACCACGTCAAGGTTCAAATTAACAATGGTAACATATTACTAACAACAGAGCACACAATTTGCTGTGTTGGCTCAGGAAGCAACATAACTGAATCACATTGACTTTATCCATTCTAGAATATACTTTCTCTCCCTAACCTTGCTCAAAACAGCAAAATATTTATCATTACACTCGAGTCTCAAGATAGTTTTATCAAGAATACTTATCTCTATGAATGTGTTTATGTTCACAGAAATGTCAGGATCCCAATAGAGCCTAACAAATCATTTTATAAATTTTAAGATATAATCTAGTTCAATAACCTCCAAATTTACATAAAAATGTTTGACACACTAATAAATAGATGTTTAACTTGATGACATCAACATTAGTAAAACCTCAGTCCCCAGCCCCTTCCCATGTTCGAGCCTTTCAGATAACAAACATATTTAGCAAAGAGAATTTTCATGTTTGAAACATTAAGACTTTCATGAAACTGAAAATACAAAGAATATCCAATGAACCACATAAATGGAAGAAGCACATCTGAGCAGATCTAATATCTAACTTATAGGTAACTCAGAGCCAGTTTGGGCAGCAGTATATTAAGAGCTATTGCCAATCACACACTTGCTATCATGCACTGAATAACAAGATATAATCTTTGAAATATACGTACAAGATTTTTAATGACTAATCAAGTTATGTGGCCCAGCCAACAAATATTAAATATTCACAACAAACATTCTGCCCTTATTAGCATCTAATTAAATCAAGAGTGATCCATTGGCTCAGTTGTGTTAGTCATATCCGCATCTTGACTATCCATCTCTTCGGGCTCCTCCACTGAATTTCCTTTTTGTGCTTTTGACCTTGTGGCAAATGCTGCTCCCAAGGCATCTGCCACACTCCTATCAGTTGTTTCTGTATTCAAATTTTCAGTGCCACCAGTTAAAGAAAAAGAGTCAGACAAGCCAGTCTGAAGAGCCCCAGATTTCGCAGAACTCATGACTTCTTTCCTTTGAGGAAGATCAGACAGCGACTGCTCTGTACTTTGATCCCGCAAGTGCTTGTCCATTGAAGCCTGAATAGAAGATACCATTTCCTGCAATTTCTTTCGCTGAGCCTCTACCAAATCAGGATCAAGCTGCCTGCTATCTCTCATTGTTACTACTCCAGGAGCTATTCGAATAAGCTCACTGTTACTAGGAGCAGCTGTGAATACAGAAGGCTCTGTTTTAGTGGAACTGTTACTAAAGTCTGTCCCTGTACTATGCTTTCTCACAACTGGAGTTTCCCTAGATCTTAGATCAAGATGTGGGTTACTGGATGCAGTTCCTAGAGAATGCCCTTTTCCCTGAAAGGCAGTTACATTATGGAGCTGCTCCGATTTCTTTTTCACTACTCCACCACTACCTAGTTTTAGTAGCCCATGTGAGGGACTTGATTCCCTACTTCTTGTAGTGGCCTCTGCTCGAACCTGACTTACAGCCTCTTTAACTAAATCCTCCACATCAGGACCAATGGGGAAATGTCCTGCGGCATCCACACACAACTCCAGTCTATCTTCAGAAGCATTGTAGACAAAGGTTTTCCCAGGTAGATGTGGAAAAGTACAATGCTTCCCATCAGCCATACCTAAAGAAAGGGAAAAGACATTTAATATTTTAAATTATACTTAAGATATTACCAAGATTATAAAGGCCATGACAGTTGTAACAGTGAATTTTCACTAAGAATATATGGATAATAGCTTTGAAAACAGAATTCATTCAGAATTACTCTTCTTAAAGTAAGAGAAGTTACTGAAAAAAGAAACACTACTATAAATGTTAAAGTAGTTCTCCCAACTTTGTTTTTTGGTGGAGTTTTTTAAACTCATTAACCTACTAGCAAAGTGAGGAAAGGGGCTTGAAAACAAAAATAAGCTTTTAGGAAAACATGATATAAATCAACATAAAAATAAGATTTCATTTTCCAAAGCACAAATCATTAATTTTGAAAAAATACCTATATGTGAGGTATACCTGACTTTTTACTGAGTACACTGAACAAAAAATCACAAATAATTCCAATGAATTATGGAATGCCAGAATAATAGTGCCTTACAGGTATATAGGAGGGTACACCAAAACACACTGCTACTCAATAATAGAAAGTTATTAAACAAAAATATCACAATGTGAACCTATTGTGTCTTGCTATATTCTCCATCCTTTGGATTTTAGGAATCATGATATATTAAAATTTCTTTATTTCATGTTAATAATTCCATTACTAAATAGGTAAGAAATATGCTCAAGAAACTCTTACACATATGCACCAAATACTAATATCTAAGGTGGCATTTTCCTTACAGCAAAAAGCTGGAAACTATCAAAAAGTCCATGAGCTAAACAATGAATGGTGTTAAAAATGATGTAATACTATGCAGCAGTGAACATTAATGTTATAATTAGTTATACCAATTAACATGTATAAATCTGCAAAAGTATTGCATAAAATAAGTCATCAAAGAATAAAAAGACAGTTCCCAGATTATGAATTTATGAATTACATGCAACCTATAGTTAAGAACCAAACCTTGAAAGCCTATTATAAAATTGTGATGTATGTAAAATAGCAAATGGACACTACTACTTTGCAACACACATCAAAATATTATCATTATTACTTCATTACAATGTTAAAGATGGCTTAGCTCGTGTATCTGAAAGTGTTTCTTCAACATTTTCAATGCAATGAAAGGTACCGTATACACTAAGACAAACATCTGACTGACTTAAAAACAAACTGTACCTAACTGCTCTGACAATGTACAAATTCAACTTAAAGACAGACTTAGAAAGAGAACTTCATAATTCAGGGACTGCTTATATATGGCCTAATTCCATTTTACAAAGACCTACAAGGAAATTACAATATTTTAATTGAATTTAAAATAATTTTCCAACTGATTTTAAAGTAAGCTGAGGGTAATTCATTTCGAATTACTGTGTTAAAAGAAAGTTAAATAATTCTGCAAATAACAACCTGAGTCTTAACAACATTAATAAGCATTTATTAAGTATTTCTTAGGTACCAGGCCCGCATTCTGTGTCACTATAGGGTCGCCATGGGTCAGAACCAACTCAATGTCGTAGGTGATGGTTCTGTGGTTTCTAGATCCTTTACCACAATGTGTTTTACTGTATTATCTCATTTGATCCCCAGAAGAACCCACAGATTCGTATGCCTACTTCATACATAAAAGAACTGACACTTAGAAGTCACAAAGGAAGTGGTTGAACTACATCTGATGTCAGATGGTCTCACTACAGAGCTCTAAACAACCTCCTAATATAAATGGATAAATACCTCAACTAACATGATTTGAACAGTACAGTTTTATTGAGATGGAATTCATACATTTAAAGTAAACAAGTTAGTGGCTTTTTGAATCTTCAATCAGCACCACAGTCACTTTTAGAACATTTTCTTCATTCCAAGGAGAAACCAAGAGCCTATTAGTAGCCACTCTCCATCCACCATCCCCTTCTCCCAATTGTAGACAACCACTAATCTACTCGGTGTCTGGGTTTGCCTCTCCTGTACAAATCATATAAATGAAATCAGATAACATGTGATCTTTTGTGACTAGCTTCTTTCCCTTAGCATGTTTTCAGAATTCATCCATGTTGTAGTTTTTATGAGTATTCCTTTTGTACCGCCAAAAATGTTTCATTGTATGGATAGACATGTTATACCCATTGATGCAGAGTAGATTCCAACACACAGTGACCCTACAGGTAAGAGAACTGTTCTACAAGGGTTTCAAAACTGTAACTCTTTAAAGAAGCAAACTGTTACATCTTTTTCCCACAGTGGCTGATAGGTTCAAAATGTCACACTCTCCTTTAGCAGCCCAGCTCTTACCCAGTATGTAACCAGGGTTCTTTTTGTATAAACGTATCACTCACTCACTGCCATCAAGGTATTGCTATTCATAGCAACCCTACAGAGCAGAGTAGAACTGCCTGTCAGTTTCCAAGACCGTAACGGTTTATGAGAGAAAGAATAGAATCTTTTTCCCACAGAGCGGCTGGTGGTTTCAAACTTCTTACCTAACAGCAGCTCAATTCGTAACCACTATGCCAACAGGGGAACTGCCAAATGGTTTTCCAAAATGGCTGTACCACTTTCCATCCCATAAGACACTGTGTGCGAATTTAATTCTCTGTATCCTCCCCAACACTAATTTATTATCTTTTACTGTAGCCACCCTGGTGGGTATAAAGTGACATCTGACTGTGGCTCGATAGTCATGACAGCTAATGATATGGATCATGTTTTCGTGTGCTTAGGAACCACCACTGTATTTTCTTTGGAGAAATGTCTATTCATACACACTTTACCCATTTAAAAATTGGATTATTTTTCTTTTGTCTGGTTTTAAGAGTTCTTTATATTTTAAGATTGTACAAATGAATCCTAGTCAAAAGGGGAAATCGATACACAAAAGAATTTCAAATTTTCATGGGCTACAAACTTTCTGGAGCCATTGAGGCTTGTGAACACCTAAAATTATTGTACTGAGAAAATGCTTACACCTTAAGCCAAAACATCCCAAATGTACCGTTTCCCCGAAAGTAAGACATCCCCCCAAAATAAGACCTAATTACAGTTTTGCCTCTCGCTGAAATAGAAGGCATTCCCCGAAAATAAGCCCCCCCTGAAGCTACCGTAACTCTGGACTCTGGACCATAGCGGTGGGCGCCGCCGCACAGCTCACTGTTGGCCACAGCGCAGCTGGAGCAGACAGGAAGTGCAAGGTCTCTTTTAATAAAACAATAAACAATAAATGCGTACCACATTCTTCTTCATGGAAAAATAAGACATCCCTTGAAAATAAGACCTAGTGCATCTTTGGGAGCAAAAAT